AAAAAACCCTATGGGTCATCATCCCTTACGAACATGATTGTAAAAACCCTCAAAAAAAAAATATCAATAAATCCAATCAAACAATAAAGAAAAAGAATAGTATACCACTTACAAGGGATATTACTCCTGGGAATGAAAGGCTGCTTCGATATTTGGAAATTAATCTAATCTACTATGTTAAGCATAAAGATGAAAAAAAAAAACAAAAAACCATAATGATCAACACAGAAAAGCATCTGACAAAATACAACATCCAATTGTGATAAAACTTTCACAAACTAAAAATATAAGAGAACTCATAAAATCCTCTCCCCTATGATCGCGAACAAGGCAGAGAGGTTTGGTCTCACCGCTCCTGTTTAACACGTCTGAAAATCAGCCAGTGCAGTGAAGCAAAGGGAAAAAAGGATATAGATCAGAAAGGAAGAAATAAAACTGACCCTATTCACAAACAACATATTCGTCTGTGTGGAAAATCCTAAGAAAGATGCCAAAAAACAAAAACTTTTAATGAATTTTAGCAAAGTCACAGAATACAAGGTCATGTGTAATTACACGAAAGTCACATGTAGTTCTAATACACTGGCAATGTACAATTGGAAGCCAAAATCTAAAAACCATACAATTTATAATAGCTCCACAAGAATAAATAATATACTTAGAAATAAATCTAAACAAAACAGGTATTAAGATCTGAAAACAGAAAACCACAAAATGCTGATGTAAGAATTAAAGAATAAAGACAGACACACATAGTATTCATGGGTTACAAGACTCAACATAATAAAGATAGATCTATAGATTTAACATAGTACTATTCAAAATCCCAGCTGAATTTTTTTGTAGCTATAGGCAAGCTGATTCTAAAATATACATGGAAAGGCAAAAGAACCAGAGTACCTAACACAATTTTGAAAAAGAAGATAAAGTTGGACAAATAAAACTTTTCAATTTTAAGACTTACTATCAAGTATGGTAATTAAGGTAGCCTGGTACTGGTGAAGGGATATAAACACAGATTAATTTAACAGAAGATGGTACAGAAATACACCCAAACAAACAGTGTTGAGACAGTTGGTCACCCACATGGAAAGAAATGAATGTCAACCTAACCTCCACATTACAAAAAGTTAGTTCAAAATGAATCACAGAATTAAAGGTAAAACTACAAAACTTCTAGAAGAAAACATAAGAGAAAATCTTCCTGACTTGGGGTTAGGTAGAGTTCTTAGACGTTACAAAGCATGATTCAGAAAAGAAAACACTGATAAATCAGACTTCATCAAAATTAAAAACTTTTGTTCTGCAAAAGACACTATTAAGAGACTGAAAAGCCAAGCTACAGGCTGAGAAGTAATACTTGTAAATCACATATCTGACAAAAGACCCGTATTCGGAATATGTGAATAACTCTCAAAAATCAACAATAAGGAAAACACAACCCAATTATTCAATGTAAAACTGGGCAATACAGAAAAACAAACACTTTAGCAAAGAAAATATAAGAATGATAAATAAGTTGAAGAGAAGAGATATCTTTGGACCTCATTAGTCATTAGGGAAATGTAAATTAAAATCACAATATGATACCAATACACATCTATTAAAAAAGCTAGACAATCCTAAGTGCTGACAAGGATGTAGAGCAACTGGAACTCCCATACATCATTGACAAGAATGCAAAATGGTAGCTACTCTGGAGAAGAGTTTGGCTGTTTCTTATAAAGTTAAACATACGCTTTCCATGTGACCCAGCAATCCCATTCCTCATTACATATTCTAAAGAAATAAGCACAAAAAATGGTACACAAATGTTTATAGCAACTTATTCATAATTGCCCCAAACTGGAAACGACCCAAATATCCTTCAACAGGTGAATGGATGAACTATGGTATATCCATAAATACTAACCAGCAATAAAAACAAATGAAGCACTGATACAGCGACTTGGATGAATGACAAAGGCATTATGCTGAGTGAAAGAATCGATTCCAAATGTTATATTTAGTATTAGTCCATTGACATGACATTCGCAAAAAGACGAAAGAACTATAGTGTCACTAGTTGCTAGCGGTTACAAGTGCGGTGAGGGGTGATTATAAAGGGAAAATAGGAGGCGAGTTTTTGGGTGATGGAATTGTTCTGTGTCTGATGACTGTGGTGATTATACAAATCTATACCTATTTTAAAATTCATTGAATGATGCCCCTAAAAGGAAGAAAAAGTCAAATTTACCATATACTTGTTTTAAAAACCTGTTTCCTCATCTATAAAATGAGGATAACAACAGGTTTGTTATGGGAAATAAGTTAAGATCTGTAAGCCATTGGAAATACTGTCTCAGTCACAAACACAATCTATTATTATTAGCTGTTACCTTTTCTACCAATGCGGTTCTTAGGAAGTTTATTTTAGATTATCAAAATAATTGCTCATTAACTTTTCAATACTCTGAAATAGTTGATGGATTCTATAGCTCAACAATATTATGGAGATTAAGGACTATCTCCATGGGTAATTTCTATTCCGTTTAGCTACTTAATTCCATTTTCAGGAACTCTGCACTGCAAACCCTTGCTGCCAGTTGTCTGTTGAGTAGCTACTCTAATTACAAACAACATGGTCAGCAACAGAATAACTGTCAGTGTATGGGAAGAGAGAGAGAAGACACAAAGAGCTCCAAGATATAGGCAAGTCAAACTATATGAGAAAACAAAATCCATCACCATCCCTCTCCAAAGTGCAAAACTCTCCCTTAGCTTTCTCAAGTGAGCACCGCCCTGCAAGCTGCAAAGAATGAACACCTTAGAGGAGCTGCTAACATCTCCCTTTCTTGGTCCTGGAATATAATCAATGTATATCCATTTTTGGCAATTTTGACAATAAATCAATCACTATCACAGTGATTCGTGTGGGGATTTGCTTTAAAATATTAAAATGCAAAAATCTGGCGGGGGAGGGGTTGAAACAAGACTGACAAATGTTAACAAGGGTTGAATCTGGGTGATGATTCCAGAGGGGTTCATTATTTTATTATTACTTTTGGCTATGTTTATAAATTTCCAGAGTAAAAACTTAAGGGGAAAATAAAACCTATGATATTTATTTTGTAAAATGTAAGTAAAAACCTAAAAATAAATCTATGGAACAGGAAAACATTAAAATATTACTATTATCTCTGTATCCTGTGGTTATGGATAATTAGATCTTTTTCTTTACACTTCGTATATTTTCTTAATTCTTTACAATATGCAATCATTGTTTCTATAACAAGAATTCGAACTATAAATATTACTCCAAATAAAATACAATTAAATTGCAGATGAATAAAAAAAAAATCTTATCAAAAACTCAAAGTTCACTGACATAGTTTTCATGGCCCTCCACCAACATCCCGAAACGTGCCTTCTCAACTTGATACTAAACGCGTTAAAAACTAAGGCAACAGATTGAAACTACCGAAATTCAAATCCCAGCTCAGCCTCTTACTAGCTGTGTGACCTAGCGTGGAGAGTGGATTGCAAGCTGACAAGGTCCTTGCAATCTGTGAGGTCAGCCAAGGGTTGCCTCGCCTCAACGAACGCTCCTAAGAATGGGGAAGTACGAACCGATCAGAGAACAACGCGGTGTTACTCCGAGACAGAGAAGTACGCTCAGAGCCGCTAGCAGACGGAACTGCAAAAGATCATAGCAGGGTGTGGGTTGGGTGATTGTGCAGAGGATGATCTTATCCTAGCCAGCAATTGCGTGCTCTTGTATAAAAGCAGCTTGTAAAAATAAAATTGAGCCGTTGCTCCCCAATCAGTGGGCAGTGGACGTCCTGATCCCAGCTTTCTGTCTTCTTTCTTTTCTTAATCTCCCACCGTTCCCACTCAGGTACATTCTCCAGAGCCACGCTGGACATGGTAGGATTTGCCACTCGCTGGACGCGGCCCTAGGATAAACTACTTATGCTGTGTCTGTTTCGTCATCTTCAACATGGAGATAACAGTACCCCTGGTCCCCACAGGGCTCTTATAAGGATTAAATATTTTAATTCCTATAAAACGCCTAGAATAATATTTTAGCAATCAGTGTTTGAACATTATCGTTATTACTCATGCCCAAGGAATCCCCATCTCTTCCTGAACCTATTCAACAAATATAAGGGCACATGCAGAGCAGAATTCGCCGATGAATGAAGGAAATATATTATCCTCTGAGAAGATGTAAGAGGAAGAAAACGTCTAAGTCCTACTCGGGGTGAGCCTTTGCTACCGGGAGCCACAGAGTCATTCCCTCCTCCCTCCAGCCTTTTTCAAGAAATCAAGGGGAAGGAAAGGAGGCTGAGAAATCAGAACTTCATCACAGCTCCCGCATAAACTAGAGTGGACATCCCAGACAACAGCCAGGAGTGACCCTCTCCAAAAATGAAAATGAAAATGAAAATGAAAAATTATTAGGAATCCCAGTACGGCCCCAATTCCTTCAGGGATCAGAGAAGGGCCAGGGACACTGCAGCTGGGGCTCTGACCCGTCCGGGTTCAGACAGCTTTCAGGGGACTGAGCGCTTCTCCGGAAATCACAAAGCACTAGTAACAAGATAGATGTATTTTGTACCACAAGCCAGGCAGTTTGCCTTTTACGTCTATATTCTCACTTAATTCTCAAAATACCTCTTAGGTAGACACTAACGCCGACTTAAAGAGGAAACAGAGGCAGAGTCATGCAGATGCTCGCCGAATATCACACTGCTAGGAAGCGGCGGGGCGGCCGACCGTCGGGGAAAGGGTTGGGGCGCTGCAGAGCCCGGAGACCCCCGACCCCGACGCCGCACGACCCGGGGCCCGCGGCCGCCCCACGCTCCAGCGGGCTCATTCAAAGGGACGCAAGCTCCGCCCCTCGCCGCAGGCGGGGTCTCCCCCGAGGCCGGTGATCCGGCGCTGCTGGCTCGCAAGGTGAAGAAGGTCCCTGTGAACGCGGGGCGCGGGACTGGGGAGCGGGGTGGGGGGGTGCTCACCTTTTCGAGAAGAATGAAGGCCGCGGCCTCCTGTACCTGCGGCGGAAATGACTCTGCCTAGAGACCTCCTGGACTACGCTTCCCAGAAATCCCGCCGGGAGAAGGGACGCGGCCCCAGCCTCCTCTGGCGGAAGTTATCCCGCTGCAGCGTTCCCGGACTACACGTCCCAGCACCCCCGCGACCCGGGCGGAAGTGCCGGCGGCTATACGGAGAGCCCGGACTGTGGTTCACAGCGTGCGGGTCGAGGGCGAATTCCACAATCCCGCCTTCTAGGAGCCGAAATGCTTCCAGAGAGCTCTGTCATATTCCCGAGTATTTCCTCCAGACCACCGTGCGTTAAGGACGGCTTTTCGGGGGCGCATTGTCTCTCTGTGGATCTTCCGGACAATTCCCGAATCTCCAACTGGGAGCCGGTTCCGCAAGGTTCCCTTTGTCTTTTGGCTAGGCAGTATTTCCACAGTCGTATTCTCTTTAGGATAGTCAGTCTGAATTTTATACTGTTAGGCAAGCTTGGCCCCCCTCTCCCTTTTTTTTTTTGAAGTTTATTTCCTTGAAACGTGACCAAAACAAAGCAATGATTGATGATGAAGATGATGAAGATGATGATGATGGTATAGGGTGGATAGACGCAACAAGATTAGCAAATATTGACAAGGGGTAAAGCTTGGTGATAATTCTATGGGGATATGTTATCCTATTCTAAATGCATTTGGCCACATTGTAAATCCCCAAACTAAAAAACAAAGGGAAAAAAAGACCTATTAGACCTCTTTTGTAAATGTGGGTAAATAAAAATCTTAAAAAGTACATTAAAACATCTGTACATCCTGGGAATATAAATAATTCAACATTTCCTTTATGCTTATTCAAAGTATCAACTAAGAATTACTTGAAATAAAGTACAATTGAAGATGCCTACAAAGCTTATTAAAAACTCAAAACCCATTAACATAGCTTTCATAGTTCTTTACAACCCCTTCCAAACCCAAAAGCAAACATTAAGACTTGAGGCTGGGGACTGAGAGTAGGTGGGTTCAATTCTCAGCTCAGCTTCTTACTAGTTGGATAACCTCAGGTAGGTAACTTTTGCTGTGTCTCAATTTCCTCCTCTTTAAATGAAAAAACAACCTACGTCCTTAAGCTGTTGTTGATTAAATGTGGGATTCGTATGAAGCCCTTAAAATAATACTTAGCACTTGTGTTTAACTATCATTATTGATTATGCCCAAGTATTCCTCCCGCCCACCCATACATTTATTCGACGAACCCTTAAACATGTAGCAAAATGCGCTAATTACAATTATTAAAAGAAATCTCTTCTCCCCTGAGAAGAGAGACGATACGGCAGGAAGGATGGCCCTACTCAGGCGAGGTTCTGAAGCTAGCAGCCGAAGAGTCATCCCCTCCTTCCTGCAGCCCGCTTCCATAAGACAGTGCCGGGAAAGGAAAGGAGGCTGAGAAATTACAACTGTGTCTCCCTTCTGCATGAATCACAGAGAACACTCCCACACACTTCCCTGGAATGACACACACACATATACCTCCTACCCCCACTTCTTAGATTAGATAGAGCGCGCGACTGTAGAAGAAAGCCGAGAATAGCCCGGATTCCTCCAGGGATTAGAAAAAAGGGCCAGAAACACCGCAGGTGGAACTGTGAGCCATTCCTGGACTCATACAAGATTTCAGGTAACTGGGCGTTTCTCGGGAAATTAAAATATATTAAAAGAAATCCATCTTTACCACTTGGTTTAAACCTTTTGTGACTATCTCTCCAAACAACTCTATTAAGTAAATACTATTATTCCCCTCCTTTTACAGAAAAGGAATGCGAGGCACAGACAGCCTAAGTATCTTGCCCAACCTCTCACCCCTAGGAGGTGGTGGAGCTGTCCGGTAAACCCGGGAGCAGGGATAGGGAGCACATAATACAGGAGACCGTCAACCCGCCAACCAACGGGGCCCAACTCCAGCCTCTGCCTCTGACTGCAGATTCTCTTCCAGGTCAAAGATGTATCGCAGCTGGCACCATGCCAAGCGAAGAAGCTTCGCTGCTGAGTGCTTCACTCAGCTTCCTAAGAACGACCGCCAAGACTTCCCCTCCCTGGAGCGGAAGTGACTCTACCCACAATTCTTGGCTTCCACTCCCAGAATTCCCCGAGGAGCCGTGTGTCACAGCCACGCCCTCCTGAAGCGGAAGTTCGCCTACTACTAGGAGCTGTCCGAATACACTTCCCAGAATCCTCACGAAGAACAAGCGACGTCATTGCCTTCCCAGAGCGGAAGCTCGGCTCTTGCCCTTAGAACTTGAATTGTATTTCACACGAGTCCAAAGCTAAGTAGGAACTCCTTAGCCCTTCCCTCTTTGAACGAAAATACCTCCGAAAGCACAGAATTCTAAGTTATACTTAATGATTTTCCCCAGCAAGTGTCTCCATCCATGTGAATCCCTTGGACCACAATTTCCAGAATCCTCTTCAGCTAATGCTTCTCTCCAGCCTTTTCCTTTTCCTTTTGGATTACTAGGATCAGTCTAAATTGTATCTTGCCGATCGAGTTCAGACTTCCTTTTCCTTGTTCTCATTTTTTTTTCTTTCATACATGACAAAACAAATATGAACATCTAAAAAAGCCCCTTTAGTAGATAACAATGAAACTTGAAAACAAAAGGAAACTGAGGCATAGATTATAAAAGGGGAAGATGTGTGTGGGTTAACAATACAGACATTGAAACTGGGCATCAGTGTAAGGAACACAGTATCTCAACTCTGACTGGATATTCTACATTATTCCATGTGTCGGATACATCTAGAACTCTAAGAGTTCTATCTGGCATTAGCTATTCATTCCAAGATGCAAGAACCCACAAGAAAGTGATGCGAGCTTTACTAAGGAATAGAGCAGAAGGAGCAAACACTTTTGGCTTTTCCTTAACATTAACTGCTCATTAAGAAATGTGGGTCATGAGGCGAATGACAGGAGCTGCACTGATGTGAAGACATTTCATAATGTAAAGAGATAAATATGTAAAATTTTGAAATATCTTTTTGTCCAAGTTCATGCATGCATAACCTATATCCATCCTACTCTTGATATCTAAATACGATGTGTCTTAGAAATATGGAAACCAGTGAGACCATAATTTTTCATTAAGGTAAGTTGGTGAGGGTGGGACTCAAATCCAGAAAATCTGACAAAAACAAAAAAATACACACCTTTCTGTCAGTGGATGCCGCCTGGCAAGCATTGTTAAAGTCTCCCCTCCTGCGGTCGTTGTGTCTGAGTCGGAGTCTCCCAAAGAGCACAAACAGCTGCGGAAGCTCTTCATCGGAGGTTTGAGCTCTGAAACAACCGATGAGAGTCTGAGGAGCCATTCTGGGCAACGGAGAATGCTCACAGACTGTGGTGATGAGAGAGATCCAAACACCAAGCACTCCAAAGGCTTTGAGTTTGTCACGTGTGCCGCTGTGGAGGAGGTAGATGCAGCCATGAATGCAAGGCCACACAAGGTAGGTGGAAGAGTTGTGGAACCAAAGAGGGCTGTCTCAAGAGAAGATTCTCAAAGACCTTGGGCCCACTAAGCTGTGAAAAACGTTTTTTGTTGGTGGTATTAAATAAGACACTAAAGAACATCACCTAAGAGATTATTTGGAACAGTATGGGGAAAATTGAAGTGATTTGAAATCATGACTGACCGAGGCAGTGACAAGAGAGGCTTTGCTTTTGTAATCTTTGATGATCATGACTCTGTAGACAAGACTGTCATTCAGAAATACCATACTGTGAATGGCCGCAAGTGTGAAATAGGGAAAGCTCTATCTAAACAAGAGGTGGCTAGTGTTTCATCCAGCCAAAGAGGTTGAAGTGGGTCTAGAAACTTCGGTGGTGGTCGTGGAAGTGGTTTTGGTGGGAATGACAACTTTGGTCGTGAGGAAACTTCAGTGCAAGGTGGCTTTGGTGGTAGCCATGGAGGCGGAGGATATGGTGGTAGTGAGAATGGCTATAATAGATTTGGTAATGATGAAAGCAGTTTTGGAGGTGGCCAAAACTACAATGATTTTGGCAGTTACAACAATCAATCTTCACATTTTGGACCCAAGAAAGTAACTTTGGAGGCAGATGCTCTGGCCCCTATGATGGTGGAGGCCAATACTTTGCCAAACCACAAAAACCAAGGCTGTGGTGGTTCCAGCAGCAGCAGTAGCTAGGACGGTGGCAGATGCTTTGAATGGCTTCCAGGAAACAAAGCTGAGCAGAAGAGGAGAGTCAGAGGTGACAGGGAAGGTATAGGTTACAACAGATTTGTGAACTCAGCTGAGCACAGTGGTGACTGGGCCTGGCTGCTACAAAGAAGACAAGTTTTAGACAATACTCATGTGTATAAGCAAAAAAACTCGACTATTTGTGACTAGTTGTATAACATGTTATTTTAGTTTCTGTTCTGTGGACAGCGTAAAGCATTCCAACGAAAGGTTTTAACGCAGACCTTTTTTTTTTTTGCACCCATGCTATTGATTGCTAAATGTAATAGTCTGATCATGACACTGAATAAAAGTCTCTATTTTAAAATGTGCTGTGTGAAGTTAGTCTACTCTGAAGCCATCTTGGTAAATTACTCCAACAGGTGAAGTTAGAATCCCTTCGGGGTGATGCCAGCTTCCACTTGAAATTTATTTCCAACCTGCTTGGGCGCAGAAGCCATTGTCTTCAGAAACCTTGGTGTAGTTGAATCGTTACTGTGTTGTGACCTGAGTTCACTGTTAAAGGGCCACCCAAGCAGAGTCATGGAGTTCATCTGGTTATAAGTTGTTGGCACATCTTACGCAATATATCTAAATCAAATTATGGTACCAGATAAAATGATAGATGAGAATGAAGCTTGTGTATCATCCGTTATCATGTGTAATCAAACAATATAATATACTCAAAAAATACACAGAAGTTCTACTTTCCAGCTTTTCTTCTGGACAATAACTAAAAATTTTCTACCTTTTTATGATGAAAATGTTCAAATATACGGAAGTACAGAACAGTGAAATAGTCCATAGCCTTAACCGTTATCCCCTAGATTCAAGTTATCAATATTTGCCACACTTCCTTGATCTATCAATTTTATCTTTCTTCCTTTTTGTTACTGTAATATTTTTATGTAAAACCATGACACTGCATTCTTCTTCCCTTAAATATTTCCATGTGTACTGAAGAATTACAACCTCAATAAAACTATCACACTGAGGAAAATAGAATTTCTTACCTGACAAAATAAAACTCTTCAAATTTCATGATTATCTCAAAAATGTCCATTTTGTTGCATTTGATTGCCATCTCTTGAGTTTCTCAATCTAGAAGAGTTCCCTCTTCCATCTATTTTTAATTTATGACCTTGAAGAAACCAGGTCAGTTGTCAAGGAAGGTGTCCCACATTCTGAATTTTTAAAAACGTTTTCTCATGCTGTCATTTAACATTTTCTACAATTTCTCCTGTGGTTCTGGTAAACTACAGTTTAGATTTTAAAGGCAGATTAGATTAAAGTTCATCGTTTTTGGTGGGAATGCATCCTAGTTAAGATTATTTGAGCCTTTCTCTCAGTGAAGACCCCAGCACATCCCTGAACGTTACTGCTTCCCACATCCAAGACCGAATCTCAATTACGCATGCAAATGTCTACTAGAAGAAGAGCCAAGTTGAAAGAGAACGGAAGAGTGAGAGTTTTGAATAGGTTTTTCGCTTCTCTCCTCCAATTACCAGTCATATCCTATTAAGCATCCACAGTCTTGCAAAGTATGCTGCAATGAACACCTATGTCCATTTGTTCTTGAGCTCTAATCTGACTGTTACCATAGGATGAATTTCTAGAATAGAGACCCCTGAAGCTCAGTGAATACACATTGTGTGATTAGAGTGATATTGCCAGCACTGTGCTCCAAAACAAGTGTTCTGATCGACTGAGTCAACAGAATTTGGGAGGCTTTTTTTTCCCCCAAAATACACACCATGAATTTCAATATTCCCCTTCTCTTTCATAACATGTATAAAATACATCTACCATTGCACTTACCTACTTCTCTGAGTTATCTTTGTACCTCTCGAGCAGTGCTTCCCAGCCAAGATCAAGAGCAGTGACAGTGTCTCACATTTTTAAGTAATAACTATTCAATAGCAAACATGATGGTTATTTAAAAACTAAAATAGAGGCAAGTCAATATTATCATATAACAGCATCGTCACTCTCGCTTGCACTGCAGCTTGTTTCCTGAAGCAGGAGACTAAAATATGGATCTGGAGCTAGTAGGCCAGGAAATATACGTAACCTGCAGGCTTTGGGAGCAGAGACAATTGACTGGCTCACACCGCATCTATTCGTAATTCCTTTTGCCCTGCATGCCTCTTTTACAAAACTAGAAAAAGACATAGTACTCACTCTCTTAGTATTCCTTAAGTTTATACGTGATCACGGGACACAGTTGAGCAATGAGACATAACTAAGTTTTCTGTGTATTCCAGAGAGGAGAAAGACTTGGCTGGCATTGAGGATATAAGGATAAAGGAGATTGAAAAGGTAGTAGGAACAATGAACTGTAGAAATCGATGAGGTCAAAGTCAGGGTAAAACAGAAAGATCTGGGAAGATAAGATATGTGAGAGTATGAGGCTTCAAATAGAGGGTATGGAGGGACTGCAGCTATTGGTCATTTAGGGGCTACAGTATGACAACGAGAATCAGTGTCCCAGGTAGGATGTAAGACAAGATCAATGGAGGCACTGATGTCAAGGTACCAAAGTTGTGAATGTGGATACTGAAATGAACAAGAAAGCGACGAGACAGGAGGCAAAATCTACAATGAATCGGGAATACTGGACTTATAGAGCAGCAGATGGATGTAAAAGGAAGGGCAATGATTTATAATTTGACGAGATGATAACTGAGTTTTAGAAGGAGAAGCAATGAGGAATAAAAAAGAAACCAATTCTGTTTCAAGCACAGCAGAAACAGATATGATAGGAAAAACAGTCACCGCTTGAAAAAGACTGTAGAGGAACTGCTGAACTATTTTCCAGAGTGGCTGTACTATTTTACATTCCCCACAGAAATGAGAGTTCTAGTTTCTCGGCATCTTTGCGAGCTTTTGACATAGTGACTATTTTTTTCTTTAAGATGGGATGTTCTGGTCTACGGCCATGCCACTCTGAACAAACCTGATCCCGTCTGATCTCGGAAGCTAAGCAGGGTCGGGCCTGGTTAGTATTTGGATGGGAGACCACCTAGGAAGACCAGGTGCTGTAGACATAAAAAATAAAAAATAAGGGATTGTAAACTGACAAGGTCCTCGCAATCTGTGACCGAGGGTTGCCTTGCCTAAAAAATAAAAATAAATAAAAAATAAAAATAAAGTGGAACGTTGTTATGACAAAAGCTCCTTTGTGAAGAAAGAGTATTTATTACTAATGTGTAGGTGGGAGTGACACTCTGGGATATAAAAAGAAGGGGTGCAGATGGCATCCATTTGGGGAACGGATGAGCCCCAGCCAGTGGCCAGGTACAGGGGGAATGGGTGTGCCTATGTGAGTACAAAGCCTGTTGCATGCAGGGACTACATCCAGAAGTCCATGGGAATGTGACCGACAGTCTAGATCTGCAAATCAGCAAGAGACTGTAGATTCTAGGTGTGTGGCTGGTGCAGCGCATGACCAGATAAACGTTTTCAATACCCACACTTGTGATTGACCATGCAGCTGCTACAAACAGCTGGAGGCCCCTTACTCCTGCGATCTCCCTCCAACATCTTCTACTGAGAAAGCTTAACATTGTGTTTACTGCAAAGAAGAAATGCTCAAAGGAATGACTTTCCTTATCACAGAGTATGTATTGAAGGGTGAGTTTGGAGCTGAAAGGCAATAAATTGGTAATTGGCACAATGCCCCTAGACTTAATGGCAATCATTGGCACTCCCAAGCCCCAGCTACTGCTCAGTTCTTCAGTAAACACTGAGTTACACAAGAAGACATACAAAATCAGGTTCAGCAAGCCAAGAATTGGCCCAAAATCTAGCCTAATAGGCACAGAGACACAAGGAAGGCCACCAGTGAGAGGAGAGTTGGCTCTCCTACTGGTCCATTTGCACTAATTACCCACACAAGGAGCTATACCACAGTAAAAACCTAGTGACAGACTAAGCCCATTGCCTTCCATTCTGGCAGCTTCCTTCTAAAGCAAAACCTCACAATCTTCCACCATTACTTGTTTTCTCCAAACAATCCAACCTCTCCACCATGAGCTCTACTCCCAGCCCGTTAAGGAAAAACACTGTAAGCATTGGTGAATGTCTAATGACCAAAGTGTGACCTCAAGCATCTAAATACAGAGAAGGAAAAATTATTTTGGGACAGCAATTCCTACTTTTCACGTATCCCTACCTGGGTTAAATATTCCAAACAACCCTTTAGACACTGAAAAGCGAAGTGAAGAGTGGTAGAGGGGATGGTTCTCAGTGCTACTCTGCACTTTTAAATTCTCGTGTTTCAGTCAGGGATCATAACGTAATCATCTTTTACGACTTGATTTTTTCCTCCAAACAACAGGTAGAAATGTTTATAGGTCTAGATCACTTTTAATGATGCTATTTTATTCCATAATATAATTTACTCGATTTCTTATTCATGGATCTTTGTTTACAATTTTTATTACTGTAAGTATCCTTGGAACGTGATCCCTTCTGAAACCATCTTCCCTTCCACCCCACTTGGGCAATTAAGCATAAATTCTGAGAAGTGGGATTACTGGTTCAAAGACAATGCACATACACGCTTTGATACAGAGACGAAATCCTCTCCACAAATGTTGTACCTGTTTTTTTTTTCTCCCCAACTTATGTAAGAATGCCAATTTTTTTTTCCACTCCCTTAGTAACACGGAGTTTTGTTAATCTTTCCCTGCTGCCCACCTGGGTCAGTAAGAGATGGTCTTATTTGAGTTTGAATGGCTGTTCTGTATGCAAAGTGTAACTAGTAGGCAAATGTAAGATGAACTAGGAATAAAACATGATCCAAATGAAGAAACCTATAAATCAACTAACATACAAAAAAGATATTGTTACTGAAGATGAAGAAAGATATTGTTACTGAAGATGAAGAAAGATATTGTGAAGATATCTCCTCCTCCCAAATCCATCTATAATTTCAAACTAAATCACAGTTTTGGAAGGAACCTGACAAAATGAGCACCCTCTAAAAAGCTATTGTAAACAAGACTGAAAAAATCCTATCCACCATTTTTGCTGTCTGCACGGCCACAGAGCCTTAAAGATTTCAAAGTTTTGAACTCTGAATTATGTGGCACTCTTATGTGGACTCCAATGACTATGAAACATGTTGCTATTAAATCTCTCTGTACTGGTCAGGACAGCCTAGGCTATGCTAGCTAGTAACAAATAAACCACCATAATCTCAGTAGTGTAACACAATAAATGTTTATTTCTTACTAACAACAACAACAAAAAAAAAGTCCCACACAGGTCAGACAGCCATTTTTCATCAATCCAGTGTGAAATAAACAGGTCACCATGACAGGAAGAAGCCTGTAGGAAATCACGAGAGGTTTGTAAGGGCCGAGCCTGGAGGTGGCTTATATCACTTTTGCTTGCCATCCACTGGTTGAAACCCAATCGTATGGATCCACTCTTAAATGCAAGGGTTCCTGGGAAATGGAATCCTCCTGTGTGCCCAGGAAATGGACGAGCGTGATGAACACACAGAACTGTTTCTGCCACACCCTTAAAACATCACTTCTATAGAGCTTCTCTCCTTTTAGAGAATCTAATGGATTTGAAAACCTGAGTACGAACTAATATTCTGACCACACTAATAACACAGGTTTCATTTCTCAGCACTATCCTGAATGTTCTTTGAGATCTACAGTCGTTTCCTGAGATGGTCTTAAGAACTAGGTGCTTCTGTGCTACAGGCTGACATAGGTGGCAGTGACCCTGTCCTTTGCTCTCCCAGCCCTCCAATGGCTGAATAAGGCTCTGTCATCTGGAACACACAGAGTGGCTTCTGTTTTCCTGGTTGAACCCTGACTTACATTTATGATGCTTCTGTCCTCTAGCGCAGTCTTTGATGAGTAAGAAGGTCGGAGCTACAACCAAAACCCTTGTCATGCTCATGACGCGTATACTGCAGCTCGTCTGTGTGCACTCTCTGATGAGCAAGAAGATACGAGTTCCGACTGAAACCCTTTCCGCAGTCCTTACACTTATAGGGCCTCTCTCCCGTGTGGACTCTGAGATGAACGTGAAGATCTGAGTTCCGACTGAAGCCCTTACCACACTTGTCACATTTATAGGGTTTCTCTCTGGTGTGATCGCGTTGATGTAAGTGAAAATATGAGCTGTAACTGAAACCCTTACCACACACTTGGCATGTGTAAGGTTTCTCTCCCGTGTGAACTCTCTGATGATTGTGAAGGACGGAACTGTATGCAAACGCCTTTCCACACACACTGCATTTGTAGGGTTTCTCCCCAGTGTGAACTCTCTGGTGAATGTGAAGGTGTGTGCTTCGGCTGAAGCCCTTTCCACACTCACCACACCTATAGGGCTTCTCCCCCGTGTGCGACCTGTGGTGGACCTGCAGAACGGAGCTCGAACCAAAGCATTTGCCACACTCACTGCATCTGTAGGGTTTCTCTCCGGTGTGGACTCTCTGATGGACAAGGAGATTGGAGCTCTGATCAAAGCCCTTCCCGCACTCGTCACATTTGTAGGGCTTTGCCCCCGTGTGTATTCCCTGGTGAATACAAAGTAGTGACCTGAACCCGAAGCCCTTCCCACACACGTCACATTTGTGGGGCATCTCCCCCGTGTGCACTCGATGATGGTTGTGAAGAGAGGAGCCGCGCCTAAAGCCCTTGCCACATTCCGGACATTGATAGGGTTTGTCTTCCAAGAGGCCCTTCTTATCTCTGGGAGGGTCTGAGCTCTGTTGGCAGCCCTTCGCCTGCTCTTGACCTTCATAAGGTCTCTCACTTGCATGGGTTTTATAACGAATAAGATCTGAAGTCTGACTAAAGTCTTTTTTGCACTGGTCACACTTATAAGATTTTTCTGCCACGTGAGCGCTGCGATGGAAGTTCGGATTTGCACCATCTGTGAAGCCCATTCCAGGATGGAAAGGATGCGGTGCCGCGTGTACCACGTTATGTTGTCTGGCTCTTGACTTCATAACCAGGTTTTCCCCACCGTTGGTGGATCTACCAAGTTCCTCTCCTTTATATTCTTGGGGATCATCGCAGTCACGGGAGGTCCGACCGAAGCTGTCATCACACCGGGCACATCCACGCAGTTTCTCTTCCATATAAATTCTCTTACAGCTTCCCTGAGAATTCTGGGCCTCGGTCATTAAGCTGGTTTTCCTCCAAGAGTCCGGGGTGAGGATCTGCGTCAGGCCTTCCTGAGCAGTGCCATCACAGTTTGCTAAGTGAACGGCATCTATTACATAGTTTTCACTGTCAGAAATCTGAAGAGATACTCTTGCCCACTTGTCACACAGGAAAACATCTTCTAAATACCGGGGACAACCTCCTTGAAGATTCGTGGCATAATCCTGACTCACAGTTAGTTCACTGATCCTTTGTTTCCGAATCTGCCAACAGTAGAGTACTTCTCGTGAGAGGCAACTCAACCCTTTCTCCTGAAGATTCAAAATATTGTTTTTGATCCCGTCTCCTATGAGGAGAAAGAGAATTTGGCTAAGGGAACAAGTAAACTGTCTATCCAAAGGTTTGAGAAAATGAAGTAGGATGGGGTGGGAACTTGTCACTGGCTTCTATTCATATGCGAAACCATTAGAACCACAGTAATTTGAATAGGTGAGTTGCCAATTAAAACTCAGGTATATGGCAGGGAAATCAAAAGAAATCTTGGGGAAAACTTATAAAGTAAGAAATTCACCTCCCTGCTATAAGAGTAGTCAATAAAAGCCTTCAATCATTTTGCTACAAAAAAATATGAGGAAGATTCCTGTGCGATTCAGTAGATACACACATAGTGCATAATAGTGGAATGCTAGACACACAGGTGGGAGACACAGAGGATCACGAGAACCCTCCAAGACACCGTAGAAGGTTGCAGAAACAAGCAATAAGTCCTGTCTCCTAAAAGTGACCCTTCCTTCACATCACCGTTACATGGGGTAGGACTGATGTGTATGTTGTGTACAGTCAGCATGGCTGGGTGTGCTGGGCCTAACGCAGCAAGGGGAACCGAAACGGGAATAATATTATAAAGTACGGGTCTGGGGCTGGTAGGGGAGGCACCATGTACCTTTGAGAGGCTTAAAGATGTAAAAGTGGAAATTCTCCAGTTTCAGGGAGGTGATATCTCCAGGCGCCAGCCCCAGGAGAAGCGCAACATTCCAAGGTGAAGATGATAAAACTGTCTATTAGGCCCTGTTTGATCTGAGAATTCCCCGGACACATTTATCTTTGTACAAAATGTTAATGGCTAACTTCTGCTTCTTGTAATCTGCTTATTGAAGGATCTAGTAGGAGGCTTTATCAGCTGCCTCCTCTGAAAGCTCGGTGCTGATCTCCTCTAACCCTGCGTGGTAGAGAGTCAGTCGCCGGCCGGCTAATAAAGGCTCATAATTAATCTCATTGGCTTCATGGGTCTTAGAATCGTTCGCGCCATAACAAAGAGACACCCTTTTTATTTTCCCTGAGGTTCTTTTGCTCCCACGAAGAGAAAAAGTCCACCCAACTCCCGTAATCCATTTTCTTAACTTCTCCTCCTTTAAGTTATTGAAGAATCTCAAACAGCCATGACATTGTGAATGGGGGATGTGGAAGTGTCAGTGGCCTGGCATCCAGGGAAGCAAGATGGTCCTGAAGTGCCACAACGAAGAAGGGGTTGAGGCAGAAGGGGGTGGCCTTCAAAATGGCACGATTACCATGGTCACGACCATCTGGACAATGATTCTGGTTCGAGGTAGTTTCTGAGTTATTTTACTGAGAGTGACCTTTGTTCGTAAGGTGGTGTCAGAGAAAAGGAACAGGCTTAAAGCGGTAGTTTCCCAATTATTTTGACTATACCCAGAGCAAGAAAAGCACTTATACCGTGACCCAGTATGCACAAGTAGACACACTGCTAACTAAAACGGTTTCATCAGCTGATACTTACCTCACCAAGTGCAATGTACATTTTGTGTTCTAGTCCATTTATCTATTTTGCTTTTTAAAAACTGCTGGTTGTGACACAGTAACTTGATTTCAGGACTCACCGTGGGGTTGCATCCTGCATATTTAGACCAAGGAGCCTTATGTCTATAATGTATAGACACAGTGGTACTTAGTTTCACACGGTTATTAAAAACACAGGGTCTAGAGCCAGATTGCCAAGGAAGCGGGGTGGGGTTCAAAGCTTAGTTATTCTTAAAATCTGTTTGATCGTAGACAAGTTACTCATCCACTCTGTGCCTCAGTTGTTTCCTTTGTAAACGGGGGGACAGTAATAGCAACTGTCTCATAAACTAAACTGAGGGGATGCATATCTGTGTATGGGCCTTTGAGAGACTGAAATTAGGTTAGATATTTATCAGCAAGTAAGCAAATAAGCTGACACTTATACTGCGCTCACTGCATGGCAGATCCTGCTTTGCTTCCTTTAACTCTAGTTTGTCTATAACATCAGTGTTTCTCCAGAAGCAACCAAGGGACCCAGGCCCTCCGTAGCACGTGAACTTTATCAATCTCAGTCTGAGAAATATAAGGAAAGAATGAGAGCCTAAACATGTGGGGAGGTCGGGGTAGGTGCCCTAACTGCATCGGGTACCCACAGGCCAGGGGTCACTTCTCAAGGTCACCCGCCCACATTTATCTGTTAAAACTCATTAGCTGCAGGGTTCTCATCTGCACATGCATCTCTTAGGCATTTTCTCTCCAATGGCCAAAGTTTCCCTTTGTGCTCCAACTAAATATTCTACTTCGTTCGAAGCTGATCATTTGAGGAAACAGGACCAGTAGTTTGATGCTTCGTCACGGGGGTCGCTGTCCTCACCCACTGAGACCAGGTTCCTGAAGTTCTCCAGCGTCACGTCTTGGTACAGGTTTATCTGGGCCTTGTCCAGTAGCGCCAGCTCCTCCTCGGTGAAGACCACAGCCACGTCCTTGAAAGTCACGATTTCCTAAAACATCAAGCACATGCCACATCAATCCGTCCACACAAATGACTGCCGGAAGAAGAGCACAGTGGGAAGCTGAGCCAGTCAGTAGGTCATTGTCTTTCTGCTCCAAACTCTCACTTGTAAACCTCAAATGCCGGAGCTAGGACACTGCAAATCGCACTTCTAATTAATTAGACAACTGGCTCTATGTTAGGCTCGAACACTGGGGGGCGCCAGAGAGACCCCACAAGGCTAAGGGAGGAAATAGAGTCGGGGCTGGTGAGCCAAGAAATACACATACCCTACAGCCCACGTGGCACAAGACCCGGTGGGAATCAGGGGTCAGGAGTGGAGGTTCACCCGGCCTATGCCCTTTCGCTCTTCTTGGCCTCAACAGGGAGCTTGGGCAAAAAAAACACCTATGTCGCTGCCACCCTTGCAGCTGGGGGGATCCCTGGCAAGGGTCCTATGCGGAAATGGCTATAGGAGTCAGGAACAAGGGTGGTCCAAAAATATTAACAGACCAAATTTATAAACCAATAGACACGAGTGTGAAAATTTTAAACCTTTTCCTTAGCACACAGCACTACCTATGAGGTAGTCCTGTAACAGCTTGAACCTGAATCTAATCAAGCACCTAGTGTCTCTACTTACAGGAAGGAAATGCTGTGAAGAGGAACACATAGAATAACATCGAAAGGAAGTATTTTTTGAGATAAGCATAGAAATTTGATTACTGTTGGTGTTAGATGATACTGAAAAATCACTGATAATCCATTTCTTTTTTTAGAAATACATACTGTACTATATAAATAAGATTGCTATTTATTCTCTCACGACCTGCAATTCCACTAAAGGACCACCAGAGTGCATTTCTTTACCCCTTGACCTTGACTCTGGCCACATGACTGTTTCCAGTTCTAAGCTCAGGCCATAAGAGGTCTTGCACGTTGCAGCTTGCTCTCCTGCCCTTCTGCCATCGCTGTAAGAAAACACTCACGCTAACTAATACAGAAACTTACCACGAGCAGAGTGCTACCTATGGCACTGGCTTTGGGACCAGGCTGTAATAGTTGAGGAAACTTAACAGGAGGCTGGAAAAAATGGTGACTGGGCGATGTAGCAGTGAAACATTTTGTAAAACTGTTGCTAGCAGTAACTTCGAATATGGAAAATAGACCTAACGAGTTTGTGAACTTGGGCAAGACGGTTTCCAGGTAGAAGGGTGAAAGTGTGAGCTTGTTTATTTTAGCTGCCTATAATAAGGTACTATAAGAGAGTGATAAGCTCAGAAAAATACAGTACAGTATAAAATAACATGTTATTCACATGTTAATATTTTATCAGTCTTCCAAAATGTTTTGGGAAAGAAAAAAGAAAAAGTGAAAAAGAGATAAATTAAGCAAATGTGTCAAAACGTTAATTGTTGAAACTGTATAATGGATATTATATATATTTTTTCATAATTAAAACATTTTTCCATCGTTTAAAAAACCCTTGCTCCACCCTACGATGGTCTTTTTGATGTATCCACCTGACTAGGCCGCAGTCCCTAGCTCCTAGATTGAACAAGAACCTAGGTGTTGCTGTGAAGCCATTTCGTAGATGTGAGTAAAGTCCACAGTCAGCTGACTTCACGGGAGGCTATCCTAGCCAACCAGGGAGGGCCTGCTTCAATCAGCTGGAGGCCTTAAGAGCAAAACCAAGGCTTCCCTGAGAGCAAAATAAATTTCATAAATTCCACGGATAGAGAGCAGCTTCGCTGGGTCCAGGGCATCCAGCCTGCCCTTCCTAATGGCCTGCCCGGTCCCCCAATCACATAAGCCACTTCTTCATAATAAATCTCTTAATATGCATCTCCTACTGGTTCTGTTTTGCTGGTTCAACCCGGACTGGCACATACACATTCAGTTCTTGCTGCTTACAGGGACTACTCAGAGTGTGTCCCTGTGTGTGCCGGCCGGGCACCCAGAGGCTGTGGCGATGCCCAAGTGCTGTAAAAGTTCCTGAATACGCGCTCCTGGTGAAGAGGAAAATGAAAAATATAATTCAAAATGTTAACCAACTCTTTGTTCTGTTTCTGTAAATATGCCTGCCGTATGCAGGAGCTCATGCAAGAGCTCACTTGCACTTTGCTTGACTTGTAAATGTCACTGTTTGTACCCCTAGCAGCTCCCCTCTCTTGTAGTGCCTTGTACACTGGCAGATCCCCTGGCAGATTCCTGTAACAATCTGTAACCATCGGTAACCCTTAGCAACTTCCGCCCTTCCACCAATGTTACTATTTGCAACCATAGCAACTCCCGCCATTTGTAGCGGTTCGAGTTCAAACTGACCAATCAGTTTGAGTAAAATTCTTATATATAAGGAATGTTGCAACTGAGCACACTGCCCAGATTCTTCAGAGCACTAGCTCCTCCGGGACCATGTGTAATAAACCTGAGTTCCCCTTCTCCCTGAGTTACTGCTTGGTTTTTCGCTGGTCTGACTTTGGAGCTTTTCTGCAACACTGGTTTCTGTGCTTATCTCTCGTGGACCAGGAACAAGCAGTTCCTGGAGTAGCAGGAGCGGCACTGGTACAAACTGTACTTGGAGCAGCCCTGAGCCAGACGTCTTGACATCTCCAAGCCTGTTTCTTCATTTCTACAAAGGGAGGAAAACCACCTACCTCACACAGCTGTTACAAGAAGGCAGAGTGCCTAACACATAGTTGTCGCCTAAAACTTGCTGACCTCCTTTCAGAAAACAGAGGTGTCCAGCTCCTCAGAATGGACATGGCATTTAAGAGAAAGAAGGAAACTTTCACCCACCTGGAACTTAGTCATACTGCTTTCCTCTTGGAGAGGGCAGGGTCCTGCGACAGCAGACTGCAAAGAAGAAAGAATCCATGAGACCGAGGGTTTAACAAGCGTGAAGGAACACTGGTTCCTTTCTATCTGTCCAATCTTTCTCACACATTCCTCTCTCCCGAGATATCTTTTCCTCCCTTCTCATTCTTAACAGATTGAACCCCCACCTCATCAAGCCTCCCCCTCCCCACCATCCCAGACCCTTGTGCAACTCCTATCTCTCTCCTCCAGCTTTTGGGTCAAAACTGTCACATTCTTTTCCTTTTCTCAGTCTTGCGAATGTATTGACATCACCTATATCCTAATTATTCTGGAAAAGAGGCTCCAGAATTGCCGATGTGGAGAGTGATCTCTGGATGACGAGGGGATTACTTCTGCTTCCACTTTCACACTCCAAGACTTGATCCTGTGTGGCTAGGACCTGTGGTCTGAAGAACTTCCAGTTAGCTAAGATCTGAACTCTTGGCTTCCAAAATGATCTCTTTCCAACACTCATTCTACCCTCCGGAGCCTACACTACTCTTGCAAATACTGATGATATGCCTACGACATATAAAGCACATTCTTTGCTCTGGAAATGCTCACGGTATGCTGAGTTGGGAACTCTCCGGGACTGCAGGTCGACCCAAGCAGGTAGCCAGAAACACGGTAAGCTTGCCACTCCCTACACACCCAGCTCCCTTCTCTGTCCTGCTTATATCTACCAGTGGATTCCTTTGCTCTCTAGCTTGGTTGGGTTCAGCCAATGGGGAAAAATAGGGGATCCAGGAAAGGGACAAAAGTGAGATCAAGAGTATTTACTTCCCCAGCTCCTTCCCTGGAGGCTCCACTGGACTGGCTATGTTCCACATCCCAAAGGTCATAGTTCCTTTGTGGTCCTATAGCTCTTTCTCCAGCCTCTGGTAACTGCTCCCTCCCTTAGCCCTTCAGTCCCGGGGGTAGTAAGTCATCCTGCCATCACTAGTTCTGGAATAGTGCAATACCCTTTGTTGGCAAACTGGACCCTGCCCGCACCTTTGAAAACCACCCCTTTATTAAGCGCTTCTCAAGTTACTCAACTTGAAGGTGCTGTTTATTTCCTGCTGGGAGTCTGTCTTATCATCCCCTAAACACGGTGGCCTCTTGCCTTTGAAGAGAAACTTACTGTATAAAGTTGCTGCTTTAGACACTGTGGAAACCCCCAAAAATTAAAAGAGAGAAACCAAAAACCACGTCTCTGCCCTCTCGGATAGTGCTTCAAAGAAGAATCAATTTCATATTATTTTCACTCTGTCACAGACTAATATTTTGGTAAAATACAATAATAAAAAAAATTTCTAGAAAAAGGAAATAAAAAGGCATATAAATTACAAGCCTTTTTTTTATTATTAATCATACAATTACTAAAATTGCTATATACACTTTTAAACATTTACACTCATGCTGAAATTGTCTGATCATAGACCAATAAAGTTTAGTTCTCTGACTGTCACCAGTCCACATGCCACCCTTTGAGTTGCATGCCCTAGAGCTCACAGGGTTACAGATTAAAATTAATAAGTTATGAAAAGTCTTTTTGAGAAATCCTTAGAGTTTTTTCCCTCCTTTTCTGCCTTTAAGAGAGAGCATGAATCACCCATATTCTGGGCTCCAACAAAGATTTGTTCAAGTTTTTAGTACAGTGTTAACCATGTAGTTTTATAATAGTTACCAGAAACATTTCTTCCCCGCCCTGTCAAAAAACTATAAATCCTGAAGAAATAACCGAGCCTTGTCTTTACCTGCTGTACCTGGTAATGAGCCTGCCACTTATCAAGTACTCAGTTAATGTCTCTTGACAATAATGGATGCAGAGACAGACTCGGCTCTGACACATGCAAAGGCACAGACACACTAGGCTCTCCTCTTCCAGAATCTGCTCTCTCCTAGGAGCCAACAACGGGCAGGATGAATTTCATGGACACATGTACACACAGGCACCCACACATATGTGGGGGTTGGTTTCCTAGATTTCTGGTTTCAGGCCCTCCCTGCTTTCATCAAGTCGGGGCTCTGGCAGGAACTAGATGGCACATTCAAATTCAAGGGGGGTTTAATAACCAGACTACAAACCATAGGGAAGTGACAGAGAGGTGTCATTACTACACGGGTCTGAAAGGGGATGGGGAGGGAATAGTTACTGGAGCCTGGAACAGAGAGGGCTGTGTGGGAAAGGCCACCTGACAGGAACTGTAACCTTTTGTTGAGAAGCACAGCCAATCTGCGACAACCATGCAGAGAGAGAACTGGAGGACCAAATACTCTAATTCGCTCTTCTCCCTCTCTCCAAACCCTCCAGTTGTGACTTCCCTTTGGCCAAAGACAAGCAGGCCAGAGGGCAATGGTGGCCTCTCAGGGCAGAAAGCAGGGTGGAAAGATAATAAATAAATTTGGGGGTGGGAAACCAACGCAATGGGGCACGTGATCCCTCAAGACCCTTGCTTTTCCCTCAGCTGCTGAAGTCCACACAGCTTTTGCACACCAATGCCCGTATCAACCTCTTGAGGTCAAGAGAGTCTGAAGCTGAATCTGGAACTGCGATTGCTCAGGAAAATAAGCCCCAAGTCTTTCCCCAAACCCTGCTCCCAGATTCTGGGCTCCTTTCCCCAGAAGACCTAGAGGCTGCAGAACTAAGGAAAGACCAACCGGAACTCTTCCAGAGGTACCTAGCCACACGTGCAACCTGGGAACAGGATACAGACCATTCCGAGGTTGCATGTCTGTGATTCGTGAGTACTTGAACCAAAGGCCTCTATAGCCCTAAGGGCCTGTGGCAGGACTGCAGACAGTGCTGTCCCCAGTCCACGTGATGCCTTCGTACAAATCAGAAAAATACATCCCTTCCTCAAGATACTTTTCTTTCATCTGCTGGAAAATTCTGATTTTGTTAGAACAAGTCACTTTTATTGCTACCTGCTAAGTAACTGTGTGTGTGTGTGTGTGTCCTATAATGCAAATGGCACACTTTAGGTGTGGTCCCCTTGTGCAGTGCCCAACCTGCATGACTGTGCACTGCAGCCCTTCCCTCAGAGAGCCAGTTCAAAACCTAAGATTAGCGAAACACGGTTGTGTGCATGTGGCGAAGCCTAAATTGGCCAGTTCAAGTGACTCTAACTATGGGAGGGCTTTTCTAATGGCTTTCCCATATACCCCACTCATGGGGATCATTCTTCTATAGTCAGACTACTGGATCTTGTGCCACCAACCATTGTAACACATGTACTGCTCCTTACGAATAGACTGTCTTATTCATGTAAATGTGCTAGGTTTAGCATGCAATAGGTGCCCAATAAATGAGATAATGGAGATGTCTGGGCCTTTGCCAAGCTTAATTCTCAGACTGAAGAGGCTGGATCATGAGATTGAAAATGTAAGGAAAACTGCTCATCATGACCCATTTATTGAATGCTGACTATGAGAGAAGATGGCAGAGCCTAGCTGTTAAGAAAGTAGACTCTGAAATCAGTCTGCCTGGGTTCAAGGTTTGGCTTTGTCATGCATTGGCTGCCTCAGTCCCTTCCTCTGTACATGATGATGTGAAGAGAACTTATTTCACAGTGCAGTTGTGGGAATTCAATGAGTTACTACATGTCGGGTGCTCAGAACAGTGCCTAGCACCAGTAAGGATTCAGTAAGTGTTGGCTATTGTGTACTGGGCTCTATGCTAAGTGTTCCAGATATAAAAGTCAGAATCTGTCCTTGATCTAGAGGATGGGCAAACTAGAGGATAGAGATGGGAGCAAATTAATTCACTGGAACACAAGAAATGCTGCAACAGACATTCCACAAAACCATATAAAGACCCAGGGAACAGGAACCCAACACACCCCAAGAGGCGTCCAGGCAGTCAGGGAAGGCTCTAGGGAGAAGATGACAATTGAACTGTAGCTGATGCCTGAAGAAATAGTAGGCGTTTGCCAAACTGAGAAGGGAGGAAAAGTTAACAGGCAACAATGGCAGCATGGGCAAAAGAACAGATGTGGGAAATACCGTGGGCCAAAGAACAGGAAGCACTTGGGTATGGACCAAAACACAGAGAATCACAGGGGATGGTAGCTAAGATGATGCTGGAAACATCACCACAGGCCCGAAACTGAAGCATCCTGGACTCTATGCTAAAGAGTTTTAGCACTGCGTTGCTATGATTGTTATTATTGCTATTATTATCCTTTGGGTCTCAACTCAGATGTTACTTCCTCTAAGAAGCCTTCCTTGCTATCCCCTACCACATTAAGTACTATTTCAATCTGTTCAGGAGGCTGTGACAACATACCACAGGCTGGGTGGCTTTTAAACAACCGAAATTTATTTCTCAGTTTCAAAGGCTGGAGGTCCAAGATCAGGGTGCCACCACCATCGAATGAGGGCCTTCTTCCAAGTCACAGACTTCTCACTGTATCACCACATGGTGGAAGGGGCAAGGGAGCTTTTGGGTCTCTTTTACAAGGGTATTAATCTCATGCTCCAGGTCTCTGCCTCGGACCTAATCGTCCCCTAAAGCCCTACCTCTTAATACCAGCACAGTGGGCATGAGCATTTCAATAACTGAATTTGGGGGAAACACAGACTTTCAGACCATAGCAGGTACCCACTATGGCTGGCATTTCTATCGTAGCACTATACTGTGGTTGCTTATTTAAATTTCTCCTTTGGCTATAAGCTCAGAGAGGGCTCTCTTTAGATGTGAGCAACAGAGGATTTTAAACAGAGGAGTGACTTGATCTAATTTAGGTATTAACAGGATTATTTTGGCTGCTGTTGAGAACGGACTAACAGTGGCAAGAGAGGGAGCAGGGAGACCAGTTAGGTTATCACAATAACCCCAGCGAAGGATGATGGTGCCTCGGATCAGGGCAGTAGAGGTGGAGGTAGTGAGAGCCGGTTGGGTTCTGCATCTATACTGAAGACACAGTCCACAGGATCTGCTGATCACTTGCACGTGGGGTGGGAAAGAGGACTGGAGGCGTTGGCCTCAGTGACTGGAGGGACAGAGCCGCCATCTATAGAGAGGGGGAAGACTGTAGGAGGGGCAGGTTTTGTAAAGGAGGATCAGGCACTCAGTTTTGGACATAATAAACTTGAGGTGTCGAAAAAGAAGAAAATAGAAACAGAAGAAAAAATTTTCGCACTAACAGGAGACAAGAGCTGTAAAACACCTATGAATCGATTTCATTAAGGAAGAAAACTACAGAATTTTATTGAAAGGCCTGAAGCTCTGGCTGCACCTCCAAGCTCACAGTGACTCTCAGGGCCCAGGAACCTAGTCTGAGAGGGAATTCCCAAGGTCTAGCCCCCATATACTACTGGCGACTAAGAGTGGAATCCAAACCCCTCTATGCCTCAGGCACCTCCTAGTTTATTAATTGGAAAACTGCTTCAAAAAGATTTCATTATAGAAATTTCAAACATATCGATAGAATAGTATAATGAACCCCCATGTACCAATCACATGCCTTAAACAATTATGAACACGTGGTCACTCTTGTTTCAACTATACTTTTACCCATTCTCATATCCTCATGTATTATTTTGAAGCAAATCCTTGAGGTATTAGTTCATCCATAAATATTTCATTATGTAGCTCTAAAAGATATGAAGTCATTTAAAAATGTTACTAGTACATCTAGAATAATTAACATTAATTCCCTAAGTTTATCAAATGTAGAGTCAGTGTTCAAATTTCCAGTTTGATGGCTCCAATTTAACAATTTTACAATCTGCCACGTGTCTTATAACCCTTGCCATGTGTCCTATAATCCTGTTTGCATTCCCTGACGCTCAGCATGCAAGGCGAGGTTGGGATTAATAATTTGGTGCAGTTTTTTCAAAATGTATTCAGAAACATAATTCCATGTTTATTACTAGAGAGAGGAGATGCACAGCCGAGATGTTCCCCTACTTCCAGAGGCCAGAACCTCCCCCCCAAAGTTAAGAATGCCCTGCTGGAGTCAGAGCCCAAACAGGACGTTCAGAATCTAAGCCTCCAAAAACCGAAGGGTGCTGGGTACGAATCGCCCGCGGCAAACCGAGGAAAGACCAACCCAAGCCGTCCCCCATATTCGGAGAGGAACTCTCCCCAGTCCTGGATGCAGAGCCCAAACCATTATCCCCCACCTGGGTCCAGAGATGCACGTCACAAGACCGACAGCAAGCCCGAAACCTGCAGACGCACTACTGGAGTCAATCCCCGCCCAGCCTGGGGCTGCCCCGCGAAACCGAGCATAAGCTCTCCCCACCGCATCCCAGCGAGGCCGGGCCGGAGGCCCTGACCACCCCAGCCCCACAAGGCGGCCCTTTCCTCAGTCACCAGTCCCCGCTTCCAACTCCTCCCATTCTAGTCGAAGGGCCGGGTCACGGTGGCGAACCCACTACCCTCGGAGATGCCTCCGAAGGGGACGCGGTCCAAGACCGACTCACCTCAGCACAGCCAACAATGTCGCCCACAGCGCGCGCCTGGGAACACAGCGCACGCGCAAGGAAGCCTGTGGACTACAATCCCCAGAAACCCCTGCGCGGCAGCCGCGCTCGCGCGCAAGGCAGCGGGACAGTCAGCGAGCAGTGCAGCCGGGGCCTCCTGGTCCCTCTCTATTCATATAAAATAATGACAATCGCGATAGCATAAGACAATGAAATGTTAATAATAATTAAAACAAATCACTCTCCACCTGTGATAAAAAGGAGGGGGAACAGTAGTATCTCACCATTTGGAAACGAGCGCTTGTTAGTGAAAATCCTTCTAGGTCCTTATTCTGTAGACATACTCTTTATATAAACACGCAATTTTCAAAATTTACTTAAATGCTTTTTCACTGTTTTTATTGACGGGGACTCTGGAAAACCTTCCATACTTGAGACATGGCATTGCCCCCGTAATGTTTCCCCTTCTCCGGGGCGGAAAGAATTAAGAACCAGTGGCTTCTGTCTGGAATCCGTGAGGGGAGGGTGTCTTAAAAGAGACATATGTCAACGAATCACGAAAACACGGAAAGTTTTCGGATTCTGTTTGAGAAGTCTCCCTTGGGACTGGTGTTCTGCACTTTAGGATTTCTATTTAAGAAAATGTCTTTTTGATTTCTTAATGGGGTAAGAAAATTGAATACGGACTTCACTAGAGGACCACAGTTCCGGCCTGGAGGAAAACACCAAAAAGCAGATGAGAACAATCTCTCTCTTTGCCAGCTCGAGTTCTAGACTCAACAGATAACTGAAGATCCCTCACCTCCAAATGATGGGCAGGAGCTGGAGAAATAATACCTAGCTATAGCGTGGCATTGCAACTTGGGGCACGCAAAGATGACAGATCTTTCTGCCCTCTGCCTTTTGATGTCTTGATATTTCTTTCATCAGGATTGAAAAAAAAAATCTAGTAAGATCTGCCACAGAGATGGGAGTCTTCCTTAATTTTAGATGATCCTAAAAGTCTTTTTATTGGGGGTGGGGAATAGGAGATTTTAATACGCCTCAGTAATATTTGCGATAAATATGTAGATCCTCCAGATTTATTTCTCTGTTAGCCCCATTCCTCTCTGCCCTTATCTACTACTACTTTCTCAACTGCCCATTCTGGCCCAACAACACTGGGCTTCCTGCACTCACATCTGTCCCTCTGCTGGTATGTTCTTTTCCCAAATGGCCTCGAGGTCTGCTTCACCTTCTTTATTCTTTGCTCCAATGTCACTCAGAGAGGTCTACTATGGCCCTCCTATTTAAAACTGCAACAGCCCTTGGCATTTCACCTTGTAAATACTATGTAATTTACTCACATATTTTGGTTACTGCCTACCTCCCCCTAAGATTTGAGCTCCTGGAAGACAGGAATTTTTGTCTATTGTGTTTATTTATTTTTAAGCACCTACTATGTGCTGGGTACCATTCTAAGCACTGGGATATACCAATAACAACAATAACAACAAAAATCCCTGCTCTTTTAAAGTTTAATTTGTTGAATGTGTAATGTTTTTCGTTGCTGTTATTATGAATAGTATCCCTTCCCATTTTGTTTCCTAACTCATTACTGCTGGTAAAAGAAGTTATTATTTTGTGAAGGGCCACTTGCTGAACTCCCATGTTGTTCTGCACCATATTTCGACTGGACAGCACCGTCCTGGAGCAACACGATTCATATTGCCAGTTTCTATGTGATCCACAGGCTTCCTCAGATGCGGCCCAATCAGCGACTCTTTGGTTTCTAGCACTTTTGCGGGGAGAAAATTTATTAACCTGTCAGAACTGTTGTCACATTCGTGCTGTCACCACCTGAGACCACTGTGTGCTTTCCCTGATCATGGACATTTTAGAATCAATGTAGAACCAGTTAATCCTCTGGACTTAGGTTTCTAGAAAATCAGTCCCACAGAGTCGTTCAGGTTTGCCAGCCCCTGGGAAAGGAATATGTTTAAGATGGTCTTCCAGACAACTTGTGTGGTGCAAGCTCTTTGTGAGCTCATTTGATTGCCATCACGTCCTGGTTTTTGGCAGTTGAGGCCAGCATACACCAGCTGGATGGCATCCTGATAGGTGCCTACTTCCCTCATCTAATAGTCCACGATGCCTCGGTCCAAACAGACTGCAGTTGCCTTTTGTAGTAATTCTAGGTGAACCCTGAGGGTTGCATACTTGTGAACGTGAAAACGATTTTTTAGGGAGAAGGGTGTTTTTTATTTTATACATTTTTTCCAACTGCACAATTAAAAATTTCAAGTTACTAACGTGTGTATACTATGAAAAAGAAGTCTCCTTTCACATGCCAAGTCCCCAAGGGTCATAAAAGGCATTAGTGTATTTGTGTATACAGAAATATGTCTCTGGCCACGTATTTACTCCTCCGCACGAATGAGACAAGATTAAATTGTGCATCTGCTTTCTTTTTAACCGTCAGTCAAGGAGTAAGAGTCTTTTGATCTGCATGAAGTACTTACAGCTCAGGAGTCGGAGCTGGGGGTATCGAGAAGGAGTCTCACTTCTTCCTCTCTTCCTCCCCTAGCCACTGTCAGATGTGTTGTGATTTCTGAGGTTCATAAGGTGGTATCATCAGTTCATTCAGCACTTCAGATCTAATGACTTCCTTGAGAATGGCATCTGTCCAGGCAGCAAAGGCCACTGCAACAGTTGGTTAACCCTGCCCCTACCCTGTCACACCCACGTTTAGCTTAGCCTCATAAGACCTTAGATTCCTTTTACTCAGTGGGTACTATCCTAAGGAGAACCTCCCCATCTGTAGAAGTTCCACCCTGCATCTTAGCTATCTCGAGTCTCTGCCTCTACCTTATAAAATGGCCACATCATCAACCTGTTGGGAGGATATAACCTGGCTATCACTATGAACTACATTCTATACCACTCATCTTCCCCACAACCCACTTGCTCAACATCTAGCTTTGTGTACTATCATTTAATTTCTGACTCTGCCTCACAGATGGTGTTTTCGCAACTCTCCAAATCCCCTTAAACTTGTAGTACTCGTTCTACCATGACATTCAAAAAATGACAATAGAGAGTAACATCTCATCTCTTATCACTGAGGAATTGCATAAAAAGCACTGCACTGCTACACCCAATAGGACCCATTCCATTGCAAGTGGAACACTCTCCCCTTAACTGTCTGGTATCCCTTGCTGCCACTGAAACCCTGAGAGCTGAGTGGCACCTGGGTACTTGTGTGTGTATATAGGCAATCCAGTGGTACCTCAAGGACAGCCTCTAGTAGGCTCCAAAGTGGCAAAGGAAGTAGAATTATTAGCACGAGACCAACTGTAGAGACTACCACTCCATGTATATTACTGGCCCATGTTGTAAGGAGGTGTGGTGGTTTGCAGAAACAGCCACAAATTCTTTGACAGTCCTTGCAAGAGACGGAGCTATTTCCCCTGCCCTCCAGTGTGGCTTAGACTTAGTGACTCCTAATGGAAAGAACAAAGCGGAAGTGATGGCAACTTCAGAGACTGGGTCATAAAAGGCACTGTTGCTTCCTGCTCTAGGGGAAGTTAGTAGCCATGCTATGAAGGCCCTGTGGAGAAACCCACGTGGTGAGGAACTGAAACCCTTGTCAACAGTCACTGAGAAACTAAGGCCCCCTGCTCACAGCTATATGATGCCCAAAGCCATCTTGGAAGCGCCATCCTCCAAGCCCTGGTCAAGCACTGAGATGACTGTGGCCACATGTGGCTTCCTGCTATAGGGGAAGTTAGCGGCCATGCTATGAAGGCCCTGTGGAGAAACCCACGTGGTGAGGAACTGAAACCCTTGTCAACAGTCACTGAGAAACTAAGGCCCCCTGCTCACAGCTATATGATGCCCAAAGCCATCTTGGAAGCGCCATCCTCCAAGCCCTGGTCAAGCACTGAGATGACTGTGGCCACAGCCAACATCTGACAGCTATCTCCAGAACACGGGGGACATACTGCCCAGAGTTTTAAGAATCTGCTGTCCACCTCTGGAAATCCTCAGAGTGAGTTAAGCTTTTCAACCACAAACCTTGAAGGTCTGATGGGCAGGGAAGGTGTCCATATCTGTCCTCTTGGCTATAAAATCTACCCCATCAGCTGAACTCCTCTGCTGCTGTTCCATAAAATCCTTCAGGTTTTTAAAGCCACTGTCTGAAAGCTAACATTTCTTGCTATCAATACTTTGCTTTGGACTTCTAAATATGTTCTGTAACTATTTATTTAGATACAAAGCGTGCCTTCTCCACTTCCTTGTCTATAACCTAGACTCTGTCTAGCACTGCAGGCAGCAGAGAGGAGCTCAGCCCAGGCCACGCCCCAGGCCTCCCGAGTCACCTGAATGAAGCAGTCAGTCTGGAAGGGGCACATCACATGGTGCTGCCCTCTCTGCAGCCAGAATGTGCAGGATGGAAACGCCAAAACTCCCCTAGATTATGCAGATAGCCTCATCTCCTACCAGCCGGCAGGAGATGCTGCCTCTCAATGTATCTAACAAAAATTTCAGATCATTTGTATACTTTATATTTGGTACTGGGTGCAGCAGAAAAAAAAACAAAGAACAAATACATATAACAACATATGACCATAAGGGATTATTCCACCAGACTAATTAAAAAAAAGAATAGCTTTATGTTACGAAATTGATATATACTTTGTTAAAAAATACATAAAAGTACATGAATGAATCACACAACCTGTACTCCATTTGCTAGAGATAAGCAGTCACGACAATGACCTTTCACACATCTTTTTCTTTCTTTCTCTATAAACATATACACACATAAAAACATGTTAACAAAATGGGGTCAAACTACAACTGTTCTACAAACTTCCTGGTTCACTAAATAGATCAGGGCAACCTTCGATGTCATGATCAGTGTACCTAAATATTTTTAGTGGTTTTTCCTTGTGTACGTGTGCCTTAACTTACTACACTTAGAGTATTAACACTTGTCAGTTTTCTGCTATCTTAAGAAAATGCTACAAAACTCAGTTATATGTATATGTCTTTCCCCAAATGTGCATCTCTCTCCCAAGTACAAATTACTACACTGCCACTTCAAAGGTTATACAAATTGAATTTGATACACTGACAAATTCTTTCAAAAAAGACTATCTATTTTCACTTTCACTAATAATGCATGAGAGTACACGTTTCCACAGATTCCCACTGGTGCTGTATTTGGTGGATCTGTTTACTATGCTATTCTCATAAGTTAAAAATGGCGTTTCTGATTTTTAAAAATGTTCTAATATTTGTCTTCTATGTAAAAATAAAAACCCAACATGAAATGAAGTGGAATAAAAATATTATATTCATGATAGCAAGAAAACAATTCCTAGAAATGTACTACTCAAAAACATTCAGAACCTGTTTTTTTAAATCTCTAAAGATTAGTGAGGGACCATTCAAAATACTTTAATAAGTAGAAACAAACAGCATTTTCAAAATGCAAAAAAAAAAAAAATCAGTGCTTCAAAGACACAAATTCTTCCCAAATTAACCTATAAATTCAACACAATGCCAATTAAAAGCCCAATCGGTTTGTTTTCAAAACTTGAGAGAATGAAATAAAGGTTAGCACAACCTCTTTACAAGAGCAATTTAGCTATAAGAGATAAAACACAATCACAAAAACATGACGAAAATGGATGGAGATCCAGTACTCAGACCTGCCCAGAGAACTTTCCTCATAACTGTTCCTGCACTTCTAAAAGTGACTTGCCGCAGCAAATGTCATCATCTTTTAATTTTCATAAAAACTAAAAGGTTTTAGAAAGGTGACAATTTTTTCCTTCACTTGTCCCATTTGTAGGTATTTACCCCGCTCCCAAGAAAGCCACATCCATAATCTGCTTTGATATTCTCACTACTCCTATCATTTGTTAAAAGCTCCCTCATAGGCCAACTCTGATGAAAGTGACAATCTTTACCGTCATATCTTTTCTCTAAGGACTACTCTGTTGCACATACCCCTGAAGATTTAAGTCTGTGACTGAAGGACTCAAGAACTTCCAGATCTTTCCTTCCTGTGCACACTAGCTGCTGGCTATGAAAATGCCAGCCTCTGCTGCAGGCTTCCTACAC